TATCTTATCACTTCCTGGGGATGTTCAATGAATAAACCTCAGAAAAAAATAGATTTTATTTCACCATAGAATCATTAAAACAGATCTTGTAAACTGTTTTATTCTCTTATTTGGCCATGAAGTATCTTTTCTTTTTCTTTTTAAATGTTATTCTCAAGCTGCTTTCCCTCAAGGTAGATTGTGAAATAGAGCTGTGAGGCATAGCAGGCAATGTAGCATAAGGCCATAAATACAGAATGACCTTGTTTTCACCTGTCTCTTGAACAGACCTAAAAACAACTGAATAAAGAATAAAAAGAAAAAAAATCCATGAGGAAACAAGGTTTCTGCGATTTAGTGGTATATTGCTTCTGTCTTGTTGCTGGCATCCTTTGTTAGTCAACCCTATATGTAATTGCTGAGGTATATTAAAATCTTTCCTAGAGTAGCCCAGAGTTTTTATATGTTTAGCTATCTATCAAACCATTTGTTTACATATCCCTAAAAGCTCTGTTCCAATGAATTTTAGGTAAAGCTCAGAGATTGACATAAGTAAATTAAAAATAAAAAAAGTTACAAAATTTCCTAGTATGGAATGTTGAATAGTATTACTGCTACTATGACTATTATGGAATCTAAATATGAAATTATTTAAGGTGGAAGTTAAAGAATTGTTGTGATTTTCAAGTTAAATACTGTATATAATTATATATTGTCTAACAATAGGAGATTGAAAAGGCTTGGAAAATGGTGGATGCAGCATATGAGAAAGAACAGAAAGCAAAAGAAACCATCATGTCTCTTAAGGAGGAAATTATAAACTTAACTAAATTAGTAGAACAAGGATCTGGATTGTCACTGGGTCAAGAGCACAAGTAAGTTGGGTCTATGACAGATTCGAAAAGATTGTTATCCATGATGTCTTATTCTTATAGAGGCTATATGTATTAATTTATGCATATTATTATGTAAATATTGCCCTCGTTTTTAGATTTGTGTATTCAAAACTTTGTATTTCACAGCCTTAGAATGGATAATGGTTTGCAATTAAACCTGTTTGTAAACTCTGCTATTTGAGACCATAAATAGGGGATGACATAATTAAATAGATAATAATCAAAAATTTCCTCTATAAAGAAAAGTACAGTAGTGCATTACTTATACCCTGCCCTGACAGTAGAATTCAAATCAAAGCAATTGTGGTAAACTTCCTATGTACATAAAATGAAACTGCTCACAGCAACACACTATCTTTGTTTCCTAACCTTGTGATATTGCTGCCATAATATAGTGCAGAAGAAACAACACAAATCTGTTCTGACTGTGGATAAATTCTTCACTGCCTCCTTTTTATGGTCAGTCAGGTTTATTCTGAGATTTCCTCCGTTTCTGCTCAAGTGATCACTTCTCTTGCTTCATTGACCTTAGTTCCCCATGAAAACAAGGGACCAACATTATACTGTGTAAGGAAAGAAAGTAAACTGATCTAGTTATTATCATGTTTGATAAACAGGCCAAGTTTTCAATAGTAATGCTGAAAGAGGATATAGGAAAATTTTCAAATGCATTGAAGAAACCATTTAAAGTTATTCCTTGCACAATCCTTGTGGAAGTTTTTAGTAACTGTATCACATATGTAATTTAATTAATAATTGGGAGGGGTAATCAAAGTGGAGTAATATACCAACAAATTTTGCTACATAATTATTTTCTAAGAAACTTCAGCTCAGATTAGAGAGTTGTTTTCTTTCAGCTTGCGGGAGTTGTTAAAATTTAAAGAAGAAGTAACAAAAGAGAGAGACCAGCTTTTGGCAGAAGTTGTAAAGTTACGTGACAGTGTAGCTAATATGTCAGATCAACAGCAAGATGCAGAAAAGACCAGACTGGAAGCAGAATCTACTATTGCTCAGGTTTGTGTAACTGTGTTTCTTTAACTAGATTGCTATTCATTTCCTTTCTTTTTCTGGCAGCTCTGTGGGCGGATGTCAAGAACAGGGCAATGCTTTACTTTTTTCTACCAATTTCTGTCAAAAGTTTGTTTTCTGTAAGGAACTTCCTTTTTTTTTTTTTTTTGCCAGATTTGCAGTAATCTAAGAAACCTTTTTTTTTATTACATTTCAAATCTTTTTGAGTAGCTGCAATTCTTTAGATTTCCATTCTGCCACTATTATCTTTAATGATTTGTTTTGTTTCCTTTTAATTACCATTCTCTTTCTGGGTGAGGTATAGGGTAATTTGAGTTGTGTTTTCATAATGTACACATTTTTTCTCATATTTCTCATATGTCTCAGTTTTTCTTTAGTCATTATCATGGATTCTTTAGTTTCCTCGTGAAGTTTAATGCTAAGCTATTCAGTGTATTAGCTATCATATATATACTTTTCCAGTGGGGAATCTACTTCATCCTGCTGTTACCACTCTATTTAAAGAAGAACCGTGATTTAACAAAGAGAAGGTTGAGAAGTACACGTTGTTTCATGAATTCATTTGGATTCATTGGCCCCACCATGGTTCTTTAGAACAGTATGCCTTTCCTGAAGGAAGTTTGTGTGTCAACATTTCCACTGAAGGCAGGACATTAGAAGTTCTGTCATTGTTGAAGCCATTAAGAAATCTTGTAAGGAAATATTTCTGAAAGGATCTGGGTCATAGGGGGTCACAATTTGTCTAATATATTATAAAATTCCAAACATTTTTTTTTTTAAAAAAAGAGTTTAGTTAAGATATTTTTAACAGGTTAATGTAGCATGAAAACAATCCAGTATCAGTATTTCCCTAACTACAGGAGAAAGTACTCTTAGAATTTTTTGTATTTGGTACTATTATAGCTCCATCAGGAAATCCAGATGCGTCAAAACGAGGCTTCACGGGAGACACGAAAGAAAGAAAAAATGGAAAGAGAACTGAAACAACTTCAGAATGAATTAGAGTCCAAAATGACTGATATAAAGACAATGCAGCAGGGTTTAAATAAAAGTAAGGAGGAGCTCCTGAAATGTGAACAGCAACTGAAGGAACAAAAGGTATTTTAAAAGATTCTCATTAACACACATTTTAAGTTCTTACACCAAGAACACATTTAAAACATAATAGGAGTTTCTAACTTCAGAAAATAATTGAATCATGGATGGAAAGCATGCCAGAAATTTTAGTATTTCTATGTATGTTTGCCCAAGGTGGCTTTAGGATACGATAGTGGTGAAAAAATCAGTTGAAATGCTGCTACTTTTGTAAGCAGAAAATATTGTCAAATCTCAAGATGTTTTTTTTAACATCTAGTGTTTTTTTGTCCCAGACTTAAAAATATTTTCTGAAATTTGTTGATTTTTTTCCAGGCCATTTCCCCTGATGCTACAAAAACCTTATAGGAGCATTTTTAGTCAGCAGCAAAAGAACTTTGGTAATTGTAACATATTAATTCACTAAATATTTCACTAAAACCAAGCAGTTTATTTTGAAGAAAGGGAATCTGACTCATTGGAGAATATCGTGCCTAATAAAATTAGTGCAAGGGTCTATTTAAAAATTCTGGGTGATATCAGTAAGTCAGTTTTGATACAGTTGTTTTCAGGCATTGAATGATGCCACAGATATTCCTCAACTCGCAACCATTCATTTAATGATGGTTAGGAGTTCCAATGATACTGAAAAAAGTGACTTATAAACTGTCCTCAAAATTATGACTCCCCCTTATGGTCACATGATCATGATTTAGGCAACTTTACAACAATTGCAGCATCCTGTGGTTATGTGATTACAATTTGCAACGTTCCCAGCTGGTATCCAACAAGCAAAATCAATGGGGGAAGCCAGATTCACTTAATGACTATGGTAAACATGGTCATAAAATAAAGTCCGTTCACCTGATGACTCTTGTAACAACTGCATTGCTTAGCGACTGAAATTCCAGTCCTAACTGTGGTCATGAAATTGAGGACTTCCTATATATTCTCCACATTACCATGCTGCTCTGCATCTAAAATGTACTGTGCATAGTCATTTTCAATTTAAACAGTAATGCTTGATCATCCAAATTCTTTCCTCACAAAAATATAAGTTCTTAATTAAAGATATGCAAAGCAAAAAACAAAACAAAACACCCAATACCAGATGCAAGGTGAATGTATCTTTTTTATTTCACAAAATAGGTTATATTTGTTTTAAACAGGCTGGACTGTTTTTTTTAAAAAAACTAATTATTCGAATTAGGAATTTTCATATTTGTCTAGCAGAATGGAAAATTGCATGTTACACTTTCTAACGATTTACTGTCATTTTGTATTTTAATATTATACTTTGTTGATGTGCAAGCCTAGAGAATATGCATATCCAATTATATTCATAATCAATAAAGTTTCAGGGTAAAAAATTGCTATTTTTAGTAAAGTTGGATTAAAGTTGGGAGGAAAAACTAGGTATGTGAGTACCATAAAACACAAAAATTGCTGAGTCAATGCCCATTTAACTCTAGCATCCTGTTTTTCCCTATTGCTTAACAAATTCCCTCTAAAAATCCCACAATAAAATATAAGGGCAGTGACTGTATGAAAATGTTTTTTCCCCCTTTCAGGAACCAGATTTGATCCAACAGGTGGTGTTAAGCCATTCTGACTAGTAATGTACCATGGCCCTATCGCTAATGATAATGTCTTTTTTAAACATTTGTGGCCATTATCATGAGTTAAAATTTTAGATTACCTGTGTCCTAATTGGGTCTGATGCAATTGTACCTGGATCTATTTGCAATGATAAAGAAGGTCCTCTATTACTGAGCAAAAGACCTTTTTGATTAATATAAGATTAGCTAAAATTCATAGCTCCTTTTAAATACTGCTGATTAAAACCATTTGGCTATCCTGTTCATTTATAATAATTACAGAAAATGTACACTTTGTCTCCCAGATGGAAAACTGTCATTACAATATTTATCCTCCAACTAATTCTAGAAAAAGAATTATACCCACAGTGTTACTTGTTAGAAGCTCCATCCCTGCTACAGCTGTCAAGCAATTATCACATATCTCATCTATTAGATTACTGTTATGGTGATAAGTGGCATGTAATAACCAGAAGCAAACTGAGTTTACTGCAAAATCTGATTACAAAGAAATTAACTTCTTTATGCCATAAACTTGCAGATTCTGAATGAAAGAGCCACAAAAGAACTGGAACAATCTACAGCAAGAAACACCAAGCTTCAGCTAGAGAATGAGCAACACAGTTTAGCCATTGAACAACTAATGCAGGAGAATCAGCAGAAAACTACTGAACTGAGAGTAAGTTCAGGACATTATCCAGAATAATGCCAATTCTGAAATTATAATCCATAATAGATTATTAGTATTTGCAATTAATACATTTCAATATTTGATCTTTGATTTTTGTTGAAATTCAAAGAATAGGTTTAGAAAAACAAGTGTGAGGAAAAGTATTTCTTCTTTCTCTCCCATGTAAGTTGCTGTTTACACAACAGAAATATGAATTCACAAAATTAATATGTGTACTTTGACCCTGAAGTATGTATAAGAATTGTTTGCATAACAATGCATACTATTTTCTGTAACTTGGTCTTTAAATTACTGTCTCTTTTCTATTCCATGTTGTTCTCTAACCCTTTTCTTGTTTTTATTTGGTACTAATTTTTTTGGAATCCGAAATGTTCATGTCTGAAAACATCGGGCAATCTTTTTCCAAAGGGAAACTCATAATACTACCATTCAACAGTACTATTTTATCTAATCTAGCCAGAAACATCTGCGTACCAGCTCCTTTCCAGCTGATGTCATTTGTTTGTATATATTTAGGGGGGAAAACAAAAAAACAAAATAACCTCTTTTGGTGGATTGGTTGGTGAGTGTACAGTGGGAAGGGATTAAATTGAAGAAAGACTCTGGAAACCCCCAATTTTGCTTCATTATATATTATAATTCATGGTTGTTTTCCTGCTGGTAGATGTGCTTGGTGAAAAGGAAAGGGAAGCTAGGAAATCCATGAAAACTATCCCATAATAAATCTATAAAGACAGTACTACTCTTCAGTTTCATTGCTGAGATATAGCAAAAATTAGCTATGGAGGCAATACAAAGTATTACGACATACTTTCTGTTGACTCGGCGATGGAGGGAACATTGACACAGCCATGAGGAAGTACACTCAATTTGTGATCAACTAGCATTCTAAACATTTTATAACAAGTACTGTTTTCAAGTTAGTATTCATCATGCTTGTCTGTACATTCGTTTTCTCTTCTGTAAGCAAAGACTTTTGCCTTTGTTAAATTTGATTCTGTTATTTTCAGCCCACTTTCTGATTTATCAAGAATGCACTGTATTTGTATTTCATAGTCTAGGGTACTCACTATTCAATCCAGGAAAATGTGTTTAAGTTAAGGTACCGACAGCATGCCCAGGCCTGACCAAAGCATCTTGTCTCATTTCCTAATTGAAACACATTTTAAGGAGGTGCTGAAAGTCAAACGTGAGTGTATATAGACCTATTCAGCTTTAGATTTAAATGCAGGAATATCCCTACTGATAATGTGTTTAGGGGCCAATAGGATGGGGAAAATGTAGATATTTACCGTAATTTGGCATAGTATAAACTCCTGCATACAAAAAAACATGTTGTTTCAATTTTTAATGATTGGCAGTATGATCTTATGAACGCCTGCTTCAGAAGTAGGTCCTAGGTTAAATGAGATATGTTGCAAGGTAGATATTTCGTGATTTCTCCCAGGCCTTTCTTTTACTGTAGTTATTTAACTTAGCAGAAAAAAAAATGCCAGAGAAAGCTAAACAGAAAAAATAATGTCTAGCAGTTCTTTTCAGTTGCCCTTAGATAAGTATTGATGGATGTAGTGACAAATGTTTCCTGTGTCATGAGATCAGTGAGTTCAGAGATTTTGTTTCTTTAATTAAATAAGAAAAAAAAAACTGTGAAAAGAAAGTTTGAGGGATGCAAGTTATGCCTTAGATATTTTTGGAAGCTTATTATAATATTGTGATTTAATATTATCATTTTTTTCATTTTCCCAATTCTACAGAGTAGCAAATGGATCTGATAAAATTTATATTAATTGTTATCTCTCTATTTTTATTAACTTGTCTTTCCTAGACAAGAGAAGATGAAGTGTCTCAGATGCGTCAGGAGATTGGAAAGCTAACCAAAATGAGAGAAGTAATGCAGCGAAAATTGCGTGTTGTAGAAGAGAACAAAACACAGGCAGAATTTGAAAGAGACACCCTTAAAAATCAGATAACTGGACTGGAAAAGGGTAAGAAGCAATGATCTAATTTTTGTGTGGTTCTGCTCCAGTTTCTCTTTTTTACTTACTAACATGTAAACATATGATGATCTGATCTGGATTACTGCATTCAGACAAAATCAATCCTTCCCTCCAGCTTCTTAATGTTTACTTGCTTCAAATCACTCTTTGTACGCTGTCACTTTTTAAAGGAAACCTCCATTGGCAATTTTTTTTAAAAAAATAACACAATGTAATTATGGTTTATTTCTCTTGCCTGCAGACCCATTGAACGTGTTCATGTGAAGTCATCCCCAGAAAGAAAGAAATAGGTTCTGGGTGGAAGGATAACAGGCTTTGACTGAATTTGCCCAACCTGAAGTGGCTTTGTGGGCTTGATAACTCTAGGGAAGTTATAGTGCCCTGCTCAGAGGTGGTGTGTAATTTCGGAGTTCTAAACTCACAGCTTCTATGTGAGGCAGCTTGCATCTGTGGCTAGGAAGCCCTTTGCCCCATTATATATATATATATATTACCGACAGTTAAATTGGAAAGCCCTCCTCACAGTCACTCAAGCCCTTATTCCCTATTTGAGCTATTGTTATGAACTCTACATGAGGTTGTTTTTTTTAAAAAAAAACACCTGGAAACCACAGCCAGCATAGACTATGATAGTCTGGGCAAGGATGGGCATGTTTTGATAAACTCACATGACACTGTTGCATTACTAATTGGCTTCTGAATGCGATTCAAGGTGTTAGCTGCCATGACCATACATGGCTCTAGACTTGTTGTCTGAAGGCACACCCAACATATAAAGTAGTGTCAATTCCCCATTTTTACAAGATAGGGCCCTGGTGACCAGTATTCTTGGTGGGCATCCCAACTCTTTGGACTGAAGATTCCTTGTGGGAAAGAAATGATCACTTACTGAAAAAAAAAGGAAGTGAAAAACTAGTGGTGAATGATGAGTTGAAAGAAATATCTTGGAAGAATGCAAGACATCCCAGCCTTGAACAAGGGCACTCTACAGTGCAACATTTTGTTATGTTTGTAAAAGGGGGAGAGGGGTAGTGAACATTGAAACAAGTATGTTTTTTTGTAAAAAATGCAACAGTTCAATTAGGTTTCATTTCTCCATACAATTTAAGTACAGAAATATTTTTTTTTCTTGTACTTTAGAACTGGAAGCTGCAAAAAAGCAAGCAGAAGTTGATAAGAAGGCTATAGATGAACTTGTGAGAGAAAGGGACATACTGAACAAGGTAAGTACGGTACATATGTCTGATTCTGCAGTTCACCTAAGTCTTTATCTGATCTTTAGTTTCTTTATCTGATTTTTAGCTGTTATGCTGTCAAATGAATATTAAGCTCTCATATATACATACACAGAATAAAGCTGCATATGTTGCATAAATTGCTATGATTTTGAAAGCATTTCATATACAGTAGATATGGAAATCATAGTGTCTATTTCACAGGGAACTGATGTTTATTTGCTGAAGTGTACTTGAGGAATTGATACAGGACTAAAAATCACCATGATAGTAGTTTAAAATGATAACATTGTGAAAGATACCAGGAAGCCTAGGAATGGTTTTATAATTAAGGGATAATATATTTTAATGTAGCAGAAGATGATATTTTGGTTGGGTTACTCCTTTTACCTGCTCAAGTTGGCAGGAACAAGTAAATAACATCTTTCTTAGTGCAAACTGCTTACCGGTACTTTCATTTTTTTCTGGCCTTGATCCAAGACAAGATATCCGTTCCACTTCACTCTTTCCTCCCGTTTTCTTCTTATACTTCCATTCCTCTTTACATTGGTTAATTTATCTTTTTATCATTAGCAGAAGAAATCTCCCCCTCCCTTAGCAGTGAAGGTCCATCTATCTAGATATGATTTTTATCTCTCATCTAAAGATACTCTCCTTCATGCCACAACCTTTGTTTTCTGACAAGGATAAATTATATTCTGTTTCCAATAGAAAGGAATATCTGTAGCTCATGGTTCCACTGTGGATACATTGGGTAATTTTACCTAGTTAACTGATGTTACCTAGATGTTACCTAGATAACTGATTATATTATTTAGTTGGATATTGAAGCATCTGCAAGCAAGATCAAAGAACACAAAGGATTCCACATGGAATGATTTTTTTTTTCTGACTTATTTGGTTATCTCCTTGCACTTTTTTATAGTTTTAAAATTTCTACACATTTACCACATGTTTACTAAATCTACAGTATATTCAGGCTGTTTCAGAGATACATGTGTTTTGTAAGAATAGATCTCCGGTATGAGAGCCAATTTGCTATAGCAATTAAATGCATTGGTCTAGAAACTATACAATGCATAGTTTGATTCCGAGTGTCTGGCATTATTAAGCTTTGCTGCATGGATTTTTGCATTTTCTTTTCAGAACTTACTGAAGGCTGCTAGCGTCACTCAAAAACAGATGAACCTTGTTAAGCTCCATGAACAATCCAAGAAAAACCTAGAAGAAGAAATTCAGAATTATAAAGATGAAGCTCAGAAACAGAGGAAGATTATATTTCAGCTGGAGAAAGAGAGAGATCGTTATATTAATGAAGCTAGTGATCTCACACAAAAGGTAGGAGAAAGCTTTTTGAAAGATACACTTAATTCTGTGATTCAATTTTAATTTGGAATTTAATGTGGATTTTATTTCAATAAAATTCTGTGTGGTTCAAGTAACTTATTTTGATATTTGAAGATAGAAATCTGAAAAAAGGGAGGTGGGGAAACCATAGATGAAGTAGCCTTTCCTAACTTGATGCCTCCAAGTATATTGAAACCACAGGGCTGTGCTTGGTGGAGATTCTGAAATTGTAATTCCAGAGGATGCAAGTTTGGGAAGGCTCTCAATTGTCTTTATAGAATTTCATACACTTAGAGATTTGTAAGATAATACAGTCAAGATCTCTAGGAATTACATTAATATTATTCAATTACATCATCAGAACATTAATTTTAGAATGGGAGTATTAAAATTAATAAAAAATAGAATAGAATAGAATAGAATAGAATAGAATAGAATAGAATAGAATAGAATAGAATAGAGTTGGAAGGGATCTTGGAGGTCTTCTAGTCCAGCTCCCTGCTCAAGCAGGAGAACCTATGCCATTTCAGAAAGTGACTGTCTAGTCTCTTTTTAAAAAGAAAATTGGAATCTGCTTGTGACTTAAGGTGAAAACTATTGGAAGAGTAGAAAATTCTGAATATTTGAGTATTTCTAAGGAACAGGTATTCTGAGAAGGCTGCATGGAATTTTGTTAATTAGCAGACATGTAGGAATAGAAAATTAAAAATGTGAGGTCCCAGAGTAGCTGGTAAGTATTGTGAAGTCTATTCTCCTTCACACACAATTATTTAACAGGGTAAAGTAACTTTCTGCATGAATGAATTACAGTGCCACTGAAATGCATATTAATAAAAACTTGGTTAGTCCTATTAATGCCAAGAAGATTTTGTAGCTCGTTATGAAACTGTTTTATCGCCTTTTTATGTCACTAAAAGTACAATTCCTCCACAGAAAAGTACCCTAGTACCATTCAAAAATAGTGATATTCTAAACATTTCTTCGTTTCTGGATAGTGCTCCTCTATGCTGTTAGGACAAATAAGTTGTAAGAGTAAGTTTGGCTCTCCTTGTAGAAAACATGACCCTCCAATTCTTTCTTTATAACTCCTAAACCCTTTCTTTATAGCTTTTGCCATTTCATTTCCAGCCACCATGAAATTAATTCACTAAAAGGCTAGCCATGCCCTTTCAAATATCAGCTGCAAGACACCCAGCCTGTTTCAAAAGCTGTGCAATCACTCACTCAGCCGATTATGCTTCATCCTCCACCCTCCTTTTCTCTGCTAACCAAGTATGGAAGGTTACCGATTACACTGCATATAATTAAGGCCAGCTCCATAAGGGCTTGTTGTATTACAGAAGATAAATTGATGAATAATAGAGTGGGTAGGAAAAGGAAGCTGAAAATATTTTTTCTTTATGGGGAAGAATAGTTAGGTGCTGATATTCTATCTCCTTCTCATTGCTTAGCTGAATAGCTTCCTTTAGAATTAACTCTCTGATAGGTAGAGAGAATGGATTTTGCAGGAAGGGGAAGAGTTGCCAGATGGCAGGATAAGAGAAGAGTAGAAAGGTGGCTTATGATTTCATTGGTTGGTCAGTTTTGGATTTAAGAAAATCTATATGTGTGTTCTGTTCAAAATATAGTGATACTAAGCTCACAATCATAACAATAGTCCAGGCAATCACTCTCCAAATATATGTATTGTGCGACCCAAAGATATGCGATTTAAAGCAAGTATATCAATGGATGTTTTGACTGAACTATTTTTGCTGGAAAGAACCAGTAATCTATCATTTGATTTTATGTTTCTCAAGTCACATTTGCATTAGGCATAAAGTTCTACATGTTTAAATTAGCAGACTTAGTATTGAAGGATTCTTGAATAGATTCAGCCTGAAAAAGAGATTAAACATAATATCAAAGACTTTCTGAACCAGAGAATGTCCAATGAATACAACAACGAACTGTTGCATTTGTTTCACTTTGTTTCCTTTTTTGGTACTTTTCCCATCAGCACACTAATTACTGTCAAGTATAGTTTGAAATATAGGATTCCCTAGAAGTTAGCAGTGAAACTAATGTAGATCAGGTAGACTTAAGAGAAACACTACAGTGGATAATAACTTGTTCAAACTACTTATATACAGAATGAATGTAATTTTGCTAATAAGAGATTATTTGAGAGATACAGTGACCACTTAAATATATACTTCCTTTTGAGGTAGCCAAAAAGAAGTAATCTTTTCCTGCTGACTTCAGAAACTAATCATTTAAATTTCCTTTGAGGGGGGATTATTTTAATACTGTGATTTGTGAATATTATATAATGTGCAAAATGATTACCAAGAGTTATTATGAAAGAAATAACTCTGACTATGCTTATTTTTTCTTTTTCACACACAATGGGTTCGTAATATGATGATAGCTATTTTTAACCAAAATGAGAGTCTGTCCACTGCAGATTAGTCCCCAAAATAAAGGCTATTTAATATATAACTATTATAATGTATGGAAAAGAAGATATAGTTCCTTATTATCTAGATGGGACCATATGACAAACTGTTCAGATGTGAATAACAAGTATTACCTCAAAAGTGCTTAGTACAATATATTAACACACTATATATTGATCAGTTATTAACACACATTTAGATAGTATAAATTTAATTCTAGAATAGAAACAAATTGAGTTTGGGCCATGGCAAATGCATTTGAAAAGTAGTAACTCATGGCAGATGCTATACTTATATAATTATATATTGGTTCAAAATAATTGAGATATTAATGAGTTTTTGCTCAAATATGCAGCCCCTTTAGTTCTTGCTTAAACACCTAGTTAACCATACTTGCCTGTTGGAAATTAAGTTTACCAACCAAAGCAATTTGTTTGCTTGATAACAATAGTGTCTTTATTGTGACAATTTAGGAAATATTGGTTAATAAGAGACTTCTCGGTTTAATTGTAGCTTGCAGTGAAAGGGGCTATTTTTGCAGGAAAAGCTATTTGATTATATCTTCCTTTGTTTTGAAACAGTTCTATGAATGTTATGGAAAAAATATTATCCCACTGCAGATATGACTTGTAGCAAAACCTTACCGTGAAGGAGAAATCACTCTACTAAAGCAAAGTGAGAAGATTTCTTCCAACCTATCCAATATCTCACATGCAGTGAAGATAGCTGCTGTTGGATCCAAAAAAAAGAAGAGTTGGATATTGGAAGGGAAATACAAGTTTTCATGAAGTCAGAAAGCAACTCTTGAGACATTAGATTAAAATTCTGTATTTCTTTGTTCATACAAAAATGTTGGCCAGAGATTTTCCAGCTTTGTAATATAACAATCCCTTAAAGCAAGAAATCAGCTTACTGTATGTGTCACTGTATTTTCTCCATGAAATGAAGATGCTTATTTTCCTTAAAAAAAAACCAACAGCAGCAACAACATCAATAACAAAATAAAATACAGGGAAAATTTGAAAATACGGATAGTTATGTGTATAGGAAGAATTGGTTATTTTAGCTTTACAGTAAGATGTGCAAATGTTTATTGATTAATAAATATAATAGAATTTAAGTGAATCAGATATTGCAAAACTGGATATTCTAATGAGCATTTAGATGTTAATACATCATGTATGGAAGATTTTAAAATTCCATGGCTCTATGGATGGAATATTCATTGGATAAAAGAATCAATGGAAATAACAACTATCCCACACTTTTTTTCAAAGAAAAAAGGAAAAGATATTAATGTACTTTATTGATATTTTGCTATCAGTTATGTTTGTAATTATTCAGCAAATAATTTAAATTTGTCCCTATTTAATTCAAACATAAATAGAATTGTTGTGGTCATAGTTTTTCATTTCTAGGAAGCTGTTATGTGCGTGTGTGTTCTTTCTCACATAATGGCAAAGAGGACAACTCAAGACATTCCAACTGTTTTTGCTACAAATAAAAAAAAGGGTGCAACCATATTTCATACTCAAAAATACCTTTTAGAAAGAATGATTTTTAAGTTGGAAAATGATAAGGCAAGCATCCATTGTATTTGTCTCCCCCTTTAAAAGAATTCATCCTCAAGCCATATCTTCCTTATTGGACACAAAGCTGTTAAGATACTGAATTTGAAATGTTGACACTGGGAATGGGCCACTCATTCACAGTCCAAGCTACCTGATATTGTTGCTGTATTGATAACATGATGGGAAGCCCTTATAAAAATCAACTTTTATCTGTCCATAGCATATTCTATATGGTGTTAATTTTATGATTTCTGAATTCTGTAACAGGTCCTTCATCACATGGAAGATATCAAGCTACGGGAAATGCAGATTTTTGACTACAAAAAGAAGATAGCAGAGTCTGAAACAAAATTAAAACAGCAACAAAATCTCTATGAAGCTGTGAGATCAGACAGAAACCTCTACAGTAAAAATTTAATTGAAGCTCAGGTACCAAAAAGCATTTTTGTTGGCTTCTTTCTTTTAATTTTGGTTTGAAATAATATTCTTGAAGGAAGTTCAGTGCTAATGTGATATTTTTCACATTTTTGTTTTTCTTAATTATACTAAACATACTAAGTATCCCAGTGGTATTTATGAAAATAAGTTTTTGTCTAGATGCTATGAGAGAATAACCTTTTGCATATGTATTTAAAGACAAAAGGACACTGAGATCCACATTGAGACAGATTACGTGTAGTTCTAGGGGTACAGTAGTGTTACTATTACAGTAGTCTTCCAAAAGTGATCTGGAGATTTATAGCAGCAAATGAGAGGACTGTTTGCCAAATATTTGGCATAGGTGAGCATTAGCTGATTTATTTTTTAGAAACTATATTCTGTCAAATACCTGACATTAATTTTATGCAGCTGTTCTTTTATGGAGTATTTTGAATATTGACCCAAGGCTGCAATGTCTCCAGTTTACATCAGAATTGTTCAATAGGTATTAGTGATGACTAATGCATATTATCATGCTATCCAATTTTTTAAAAACTGTCTTTACATAAAAAGAGTTTTCTAATTTTATTATATGTAATATTTTTAGATATTACATATCTGATTTCTCTGAGAGATTTGTCTTCACAAAGAAACAGGTTTTCTAATTCAGTCCCAAAACAACCAAGAATTTAAGGGAATTTGTCTTCAAAAGCCTTACATTTATTTCATTAAAAATTGACTGTCTTAATTGGTGCTGGAAAATTTCTTATCATTCTATTCAAAAGTAAAACTACATCCATTTCTCATTTTCCTATATTACTTGGTGAGTTATTTTCTTATTCAGTAAGGAATGAGGGCCTTCCTGAAAAGATGAAACTGCTGGTCTTACCTACCATTATCTATTTTTGCTGAATGCGATGCTCTGAAAATGATAGATGGTGTCTTTAAGTTTCTGAACCAAATTAGACATCATAGAAAAATAAAGATTAAATCTTAGGCAATTCAGCCAGCTGAAAATCATCTTCATCATTATAAAGCAAAAAAAGTAGCTCTGGAGGCAGCTATTTTTATGCAGATATTGCAAGGAGTAAGAAAATAATTTAGAAAGAAAGTCAGCAACTGCCAAATATAACATAGAAGCCCTATTTAAATTAGAAGCAATTTTTTTTGCTTCAGTTTTTATATCTCTCCTACTTGTGCAAAGTAATGGGTTGTCAGCATCCACTGGGGACAGGAGGAGTGGTGCTTACCTATACTTTCTTGTGGTAATGAATTGGTCTGGTGTCGAAGCTGTTTGCCTTTGACCTTGATACCCTCATGCCATACTTCCCGATTGCTATTGCGGGAACTTGCATCTGCCATATTTTCTTTAAATTAAAGCCTTGGGTACTGTATGAATTTCACAGATACAGCGTTTTATAGATGATAGAGTTAAGAGTCTACTCATTGTAAAATACATACAGCATTTCAGAAGATTGGTTATCATTTGTCATTCTTATGTAATAGTTATTTTAAAAATGTTTCATTTTACTTAAAATGCCTTTTGAGTAATACTAATCTCATTTTATAAGGCTGAACAGTTGACTTGTTGCTCTAAATTCATTTTAAAGAGAGGTTTCTTTGTAAATAATAGCAAGTGTAAATGAAAGCCCTAGTATTAATTTGTTTCAGCAAGCCACTTTTTAAACATTTTTTTCCAAAGGTTATGGGAAAGAAAAAATTTCAAGCTGCAGTCTATACTTACTGGAGGAAAAAAGATAGATAATACTTAAGTTTTCATCAGGTACTATACAAACTAACACACAAGTTGCTTTTATAAAATTTGTTCATCCTCTTTTTTCATTGACTTAACTTCGTAAATAGGCAGAGATGTGGCTTGTATTAGAAAATTGTACATTCAGCTCCACCTGTATTTATACAAATATTACCAGTAATGAGCACTGGTTTTCTGTAATTAGGATGAAATCAATGAAATGAGAAAGAAGTTAAAGATTATGACACACCAGGTTGATCAGCTGAAAGAAGAGATTTCTGTCAAAGAGGCAGCCCTTGTGAAAGTGCATCTGGACCACCAGCGGATAGAAAAAGAAAAAGAAGCCTTAAAGGTAAGGTACTTTCAACAGAAAAAATACACCCCAGGTCCCTAGAAATAAAGGATCAGTTTAGGTGTTGTGGCCTCCTTGAAAGTATGTTTCTTGGATCACCTGCCCTACTCTGTACCTGCACACAGTATGTCATCATGTGTCTTAGAATCACCTCCTTTTGGAGGGCTAAAGTTGCATTCATATTATAAGAATTATGAGAGGGGGACAAATATAAATGAATGGAGATTAGGAAATGGAAAGGACCATAATGATTTGTTATTTTTTTTCTTTCTGAACTTTTTTTTTTATTACACTGCCTTCTTAGTAAGGGCTTTTCAGGTTTTCCATTTCTGATCTTTATTGCTAGATACAAATTTTGGGTGAAAAATCTGGCCCTCTGTAATATAAATTCATATGGCTGATTGAAGCATGATATAGCCCCATTCTTGCTAATGTAATCCCAGGTCCTAAATTTACCAGAGAGTTAGGGGAATTCCCCATCAAGAAATATGGCTGCTTACAAGATTGGTGAAACAATATATTGCAGTTATGTTCAAAGAAGAGAATGAAAGAGAGCATGAACATAAAGCTATTATAGTAGGTGAGCCAATTGATACCTTATTTCCTAAACAGCAACTTAATTAGCTCCCTATAAATGAGGCGGGGAAATTGTTATTACAATTCCAAGATAATGGTGATCTCAGATGAACATTAATGGTACCTTAATAGTGATCCCTAATCAATAAGCAAATATATGAAATGTACCTTCCATGAATGCATCTTCATATTTGAAGGTTTTCTACCTCTCTCTTTAAAATTGCCATTATTACAACATTCTCTAAATGAAACTGGTATGCTAGGGGGTGAACTAATGTAACATATCAAAGAACAGTATAGACAAATATGTTTGCAAACAATATTTTTAGTTGAATATGGCTACCTTTTTTTGCTTGAGTTATTGGTCCAGCTAATCTAGATATTGGTTAATTTAACTGGCAGCAGAATCTGAAAAGGAAATTTTTCTAACACTGCCATCTCATCACTTTTTGGTGGCAGACAAAGGCATTCCTTAGGTTTTGGTCAGTGTGGTCAAGATAGATAGTAGTATGCGTCCCTTTATTATGTGCATTGATAGATATAAACAAGAAGTATAGGTTTGATATATGGTTGAGATTGTCATCTGGATGTCTTCCCACAGATGCCCATGCCTACAGATATAACAGATTAGAGTTTCAATTCTTCCATTGACTATTCTATTTTTTTAATGGGAATTGCTTGAGAGATTTTGATTGGTGAGATATATAGATCTATAGATATAATAATAATAATAATAATAATAATAATAATAATAATAATAATAATAATAATAATAATAATAATAATAAAGTTGGAAGGGACCTTGGAGGTCATCGAGTCCAACCCCCTGCCCAGGCAGGAACCCTACACCATTTCAGACAAACGGCTGTCCAGTCTCTTCTTAAAAACTTCCAGTGTTGGAGCATTCACCACTTC